ATTTGGTTTGAAACTGTCTCATTGCTATTTGTTTCTCAATAAAATTATGGAAAAAAATGTAAAAAAATAAATAAAAATACAGTGAATGCTGCAGCTCCTTTCCAGTGGAAAAGGCAGGTTCTTCCCGAGCAGCTGTTACACACTTGTAAGTTATTAACATATGAGATCCACACATCATCTAAAACATGCCGTGAATGCTAATCACTTTAAAGTGAAATACATACAATAATGTACATCTGATACCCACAATAATGTACACGTAATACAGAATCGGTTCACAGTGACTCTGTGCCTGGATACAAGCCTCGCGTTGCGCACATGGCTCCGTCCAGCTGTGACACCAAGCGCACACGGAAGCCTCCTTTGGGTGGGTTTTCACGGCCTGAACGCATCAGCATTCTGCCTTTCAGGACTCGCGCGGTGCATGGCTGTGGAGCTCTCGATGCCGGGCGTCAGGTGCGCTACGCAGCAAGTGGCCCCATCGCATCTGGGAAGAGGGCTCCTCAGCACGAGCGAGCGCCGAGGTGCAGGGCCAGCGCGACCGGGTGGGCCTCGAGGTCCTGTTCTGAGCGGCTGGTTACCGCCACCGCGTAGGAAAGCTGATGGCACCCTGCTCTCTCCGCCACAGGACGACGGCACAAGGCGCCAGGCTCCAGCCTCGAGTGCCTGGTCTGCAGGACTGAGGAAGCAATCCTGGGTTCTCTACCAATTCCACGCCTCCGCGGCATTCTGCCACAAGCAGCACAAGGGCTAGGGCAGCGCTCAGCTTACCTTTGGGCACGCCAGCGAAACCATGCACTTTGAGAACATGTTCAAGTAATTTGAAAGAAGCATGTTGCAAAAAGCAAAATCTGAATCAGAAAGTTATTCAAGATTGATCCTATACAGGTACAAATTCCGTGTGATAAGTGTGATCATTATATTTCTCTAAAATGTACCAATAAACAATTAAAAATGAACAAAATCTAGGTTTTAAGTTTTGCTAAAAATTAGACCAGTAGAATTAGCCTTCATGTGTTGAATGAGATTATTTCAATCTGATAAAACAACATTCAACTATATTATACCAGATCTGTGTCTTAACTCGTCTCATCTTAATTCAGTAGTATATGAATCTAGTGTTATCACACTACATTCTCCAGGATATCACTATAACTTAATTAAGGTAAACTTTTCTGTTAAATTAAAAAGTGGCCATTTGTTTGAGATTGCTAACCAAGGACGCAACAGTGCTTACGAAATACTCCACTGAAAGAGAAATAAAACTAGATTTTAGACAAATACAAAAAGATCTAGTAAGAGGATTAGTTATTGTTGTAATAGAAGTATTTAGGAAGTTCACACTTAAAAACATGTTACAACGATGTGCAAAATAATTTTAAATGTAAATGAAACAGCAAACTGCAAAACAATATAAAGTGTGACCCAATTTTGAAGAAAAACAAAAAATCCCCAAAACCAATTATTTAAGACTACATAGGAATAAAAATGAGCTGGCAAAGAACCTGAATTATTAATAGTGGCTACATTCAGGGACAATGGCCATGGTGAGGAGGAAACATTCTTAGGGTTCTGTGTTGTTTACAGGAATAAGATACTGTTTTAAAATAAAAACCTCTTTAATTCAAATCAGCCTGTCATTAGAAATGGTAGTGGGAGGGGTGCTGGGTAGAGGGCGAGGGCCGTCTGCCGCTGGCGACTTCCTAATATACGGTCTGAGTGTGGTCACATGGACATCCACCTGGGGAAGCCACCCAGCTAGACGTGTCATCTGCCCATTTCTCTTAAAAAGCTCATGTACAAATAGCTTCCTAGTGCCTGACTGAATAGCACTCCTGTTCTGGCTAAACACACGCTCTCTGGATTCACGCATCAGACGGCACTGATTTACTGCCCCTCGTTTCTCCTTAACAGAGTTGTACTGCAAAGGAATCACTGACCACTTCTGACAAAAGGCAGTCTCTAGCTGATAAAAATGACAGGCAAGCAAGTTCTAACCCTCGTGGTACAAGGTAGACCACAGCTACGACGACGTCATAATCTTGCTGGGACTCTTCTAATACAAGCATGTCTTCTGCGGTATCATACTGCTTGGAATGAGATGTGAAGGAGTAAGAGAAGTGAAAGCACTCAGCAAGCAGCGCAACAAGCAGGCGCTAGCGATGGACAAGAAGAGAAAGACATAAGGGTGCTTTCCTCTGTGACTGACTCTGACTGAATTGTTTTCCACATGAAATCACTCACGTCAGACCTAGAAGAAACTGCTGTACGAAGATTACTCTACCTCCGACTTCTCAAACCAGATGTTAAGTAAAAAAACAAAACCAAAACCCACTAAGATTTACAGTTTGTTTTGCAGGGTTGTGTGCTTTGGTGAGAAGCAAGACCGCTTTCTCACGCTGGAGAAAATTAAGAGTGCACTGCCTTTCCTTCCCTCTTTATCCTGCTTTCCCTCATTGCAGTCGTCCTTTTCCTTTGAACAGACTTCGCTCGCATAGTATCTATTGTACCTTTCAGATCCTAGTTACCCTTTCAGGTTCTTACTCAGGGAGACAACACGATGTTTACACATGTAAGTCTGATTTATCGCACTGAAGAGCATGTTCTCAAGTTCTATCCATTTACATATATTTGCATTTTAGGGAAGGGCCTGCAGGGTGTTCAGGGTCTCACTACTAGATCGCACTCAGTGATCTGCCTGTTTACAGCCTCCCAAGAGCTGGGTTTATGCGCACACGTCACCACGCCCAGGCTCAATAGCTGTCTCAGCATACCCTGGGTGGCAGGGCCAGCACAGCAGGCCCAAGGATCGAAGCACTAGCCCCTGTGCTTGCTTGTAGGTGCTTTAATCCGCTGAGCTATTTGGCCGGCCCTCCACTTACCTATAGAAATCCTGAGTTTATTTTTATAGCTGAGTAATACTCTATTGTATAAAAACACCATATCTATTTTATCCATTTCTCAGTTGAAGGGCATTTGGGTTGTTTCCAAGATTTAGCTGTGACAAACTGTGCTGCTGTAAACATGGGTGTGCTCAGACATCGCTGTGGCACGTTTTCAGTTCTGGAAAAATACCCAGGAGGGAATACCTGGGCCGAGCGGGATCTCTAATCCAGGATAGCTTGGATAAGTGTACTGCTGATTGCTACTGGTCTACTGAAAGCAGGAGTTAATACATTTTTTTCTCTCTCTTCTTTAAATTTTTTGTGATTTTTTTTTGGACAGTCTTACAGGCTTATATATCTGGCAATCTGAATAACTAATTTGAAGACAAAAATATGCAGTATAACAACCATTGTTGAATTCTCACCATTTTGTTTAGTGAAATTCTATATTTCTAATATTTTTTAAAATACTTTTACTATTTTTTGTACTCTTTTTAAAAACTTTTTTTTTTAAAGTGCATTCAAATGAATATTAATTGTATTCAGCAGAAAAGCAGGCTGGCCATGGGCAGGCTTCCAGGGTCACTGAGTCGTGGCTCCATGTGATTCCCATAGCAGCAGGAATGAACAAAACACTGTCACTGTTATGAAGAAACCTGTGACTTCCTTTCAGACTTGGGTCTGGCACCACTGTCTGGATGAGCCTGAAGTACAAACACAAGAATCCACCTCTCCTGTAGAACGACAGCGTACGCGAGGGGTACGATGAGCCAGGAAACTGCACGTTTAAAATCTACACCTTTAATGTGTCACGTAACGAGGAACAATATTAGTATTTTATTCATTACAGACATTTAAATAAAATCTACAACAACTTTATGGACAGCACTTATCTACAGCTGAACACCAAGGTACTTCCCGAAGCGACAGTCCCACCTCTGGGTGAGAAGACTGCGCATCCTGGGTCACAGTCTCACCACTTCTGAGCTCTCTTTATTCAAAAGCAAAACAAGGGCGCTCTACCTCACGACTGTGCTCTAGATCAGCCTCCTCCAGCATCAGCTGCTGAAGAGTCAGCTGCCACAGGCTAAGTCAGGAATTCTGAAGGGTGGCAAGTATTTCCAAAACTTAAGACATATCCTTTGCTGTTGAAATTCTGCATTTACTCAGAGTACCAAAGGAAAGAGCTGCGTCTTCCGCTTGCTGCAGATTCGGGATAAGCAGACCGGGTGTCTTCTCTCAAGGCTTTCAGCACATTCTGGAAACACCCGACAGCCCCACGCAGAGGCAGACTCGGCAGGCCCCTCGTCCTTGGCTCCGAGTGACCTATCGCAGATTTCCTTTTGAAATGTTTCTTCCAAATTTCCTAACCATGTTCGAGTTTAGTTTATGGATGTTTTTCTTGTGCCCTAGAGAAAAAGATACAGAAATGTAGTACAAATATAGAAAGTTTTTATCATTCATTCAACTTATAAAAACTTACTGAAAGTTACAACCCAAGGAAAGAAAAATAAGTCAAAATACAACAAAGAAGCACTGGACTACACCTTGCACACAAAGCCCATCACCAGCTTCCGTGACGCGTGCACGTAGTTATCAGGGAGAGACCTGCCGAATGGCTACACTCGCTGCACGTCTCTTTTCCGTCTTCCTATTGTAACTGATTTTTTCATTTTCTGGAGTTTTTCCGTTGGGGTTTCAAGCTTTGACAATGGTCCTGGCCTCACCCAAGTTGTGCGATGACCTCTTCTAAGTGCCCACACGTTTTTCTGGCCACGTCAGACGTGAGTTTTGGAGGCACACAGTTTGACACAATGTTTTCATTTCTGTAACTGCTCCGTTGGCAGGAGCAGCCCTCTTCCCCGCCGACGGCCCCTAGTCTGCATTTCTATGTTGCCAGCTAAGAACTGAGGTGAAGTGGGCACGGTGCTGCACGCTGGGAGGCTGAGGCAGGCAGGAAGACCTGGCACCCTGCAACTTCCTCTGATCCTGTCTCAGAAAAGGGCTGGGGATATGGCCAGTGTGAAGGCCTTGGGTTTAAAATGCTGGTGCCGCACAAAAAGCTAAGGAGAACACCTTCTAAAGAGAGTCTCCACTTCTACTGTTCTAGTAATTCCCAATACATAGTCAGGTATTTTTCAATTGGATCTTCTAATGCATATCAAATATTATCTCTTAGTACATCAAAAGGCCTCCTTCATCCTTAAGACTCTGTAATTTTTTTTTTAACACTATTGGTAGCCTTTTTCTTCTTTGGCAAGAATTGTAGGTTAGTATTTTCTACCACTCTTTCCTTCATAGTAATTTTTTTCTAACTGTGCTTTAAAATAAAAAAAGAATTTGATATATTTACCACTCCTAGATAATACAAAACCAAATTTCTATGATTTGAGAATTTTTGGGGGGCTGTGGAGGAAGAGAGAGAGGGACCAAGAGCAAGAGCGAGCCAGAGAGAGAGAAGAGGGGGAGAGGGGCAAGACAGGGGGAGAGTGAGGGCAAGAGAGGGGAGAGAGAGAGCAAGAAAGAGACAGCAAGAGCGAGAGCGAGAGCGAGAGCGAGAGCGAGAGCGAGAGAGAGAGAGAGAGAGAGAGAAAGAGGAGGGGGAGGGAAGGAGCGGAGAAATTTTTATGCAATTCAAACAGCACTGACAAAGAAAGAAAAAAGTTTTCCTGTTATTCATGGAAACACAATCTCACGAGACCTCCATCCAGGTGCTCGAGTTTCTCTGCAGAAGAAGCCAGACTGGAACACCCAGTATTTACTGTGGCTGTGCTCAGCACAGGACCGGGCACGAGGCGAACACTCCCTAAGGAGACCCTTGTGAATGAAGTCTGCAGAGCAGCACCAGAGAGGCGTGGACATCATGCTCGAGAGACCCTCCGTCAGCTAGCTGAAGGGCCTCTTCTGTCACCCCACAAGGAGTTGAGGAAATACAGTCACCTTCATTATTATCTTTTTAAACGTGTCAATGAGAGTTATAATCACTGGGTGTAAACAGTAGCCAGTATGGGAATTACAAAAATGAGTCAGAGGCCAAATGATTAGAACAGGTTAAGAGGAAAATTACAAGTGGGTATAGTTTATAAAATACACTTAATCAGCTTATTAAATAATACATTTGATTACTAGCTAAATTATTTACCAATGCTGCAGTGTGAGGCAGCACAGGTAACAAAAGGGGACAGAACGGAAGGCTGGGAGAGCAGGCTCTGCGACCTAGCTCCACCGCGGTCTTAGACATGCACTTTACACGCTGTGCTTGGAGTTTCCCTATCTGTAACGCAGGGATAGTGATACTGGCTCTGCTATATAATAAGTAGGCCAAGGAGTATGTAAATGGGTGTTCTAAGGAAACACTGTAAAAAAGAGAGTAAGGCACTGTTCGTGCATTCGATAATCATGTTGCTAACAAATCAGGAGCTGAGACGTACCTACGGTTAGCCTGTTCTCTCGGAGCAGCTTATCGCTTGAGCTGTCCTGTCGGATACGCTTGGCAAGTCCATGATTTTCTTCAGCAATTAAAGGATTATTTGATGTGGAACTGGAGGGAGAAAGTTATTATTTTGTTTTTAGTTAAGCAATTTTTATATCTCGAAGTTCCAATTCATGCTCTATATGAAACAAAGATAAAAGGCAGAAATACAAAGTTGTGAAATCTCGTGTCTCAGCTGGAGGCACTGAAGACCTCCTCCACCGCTGTCCTTCAGGGTGGATGCTGTGACCACGGGTGCACGCGAGAGTGCCGTAGGCGGATGTTCTCAGGACACTCTGCTGATGTGTAAGTGATCATGGGTACCTGCAGAGCAGGGGTGGCAGCCTACGACCATGGAGGCTGGAAAGTTACACTCCTGTTTATCAGAGTGAAGCCAGAACCCTAACGTGGAGGAGTAGACAACTAGAAGAGCTGAGATGAATTCCATTTTTGAATCAAAACAGTAACATTTTGTAATGAAATTAAGTTTGTTACAATTGCAGTTATTATAATTATAGAAACTGAAAAGTATAATCTATTTTCATTTATTCTGTTTTTCAGAACCATTATCACACACATCGGTTTGGTTAAGAGGTCAAATTCTAACTCCACTTGAGCTGACATTATCAGACATCGTTCAGGCTTGGAGGCTGAGTCAGGGGACGACACCTCTCTGTACCCTGATTAATGTCAACCAACTTTTTTCTTTGGCTACTAAAGATACTATAGGACATCTCACAAACTGATGTTGACCTGACTGTCAGCTGCACTAACAGTGAGGGCTCGCCTGGATGGCAACAACTTGCCTTTGCCTTTCTGGTAATTCCAGTCATGAAGTGAACCAGCAGGACTGTATGTTTGAGGAACAGAAAAGACAGGTCAGCCATGGGCTCACTGCAAACACTCAGCAATGGCAAGCTTCTGAGCACACTGAATGCAGGGGAGAACAGTGATCGGCTCAGTTTTGTAAAGCCCCGAAAGACGTGATTATGGTGTGCACTAGGGTTCCTGTGCGCACCGCTCAAAGTGCAGATGGTGCCTGACCAAAACGGTCCCAAGCGCTAGTGATTATGAGAAACATGCTCAGCTGTGGAAATGCTTTATTCCTGGATAGTTCTAAAATTACTACATTTCTATTTGGACTATTCCACACTTGTGTTGACTTTATTTCTTCAAGTATACAGATCAATGTCATCAGTTACTATTTATTTATTTAGTATTTAGTACAGGGTCTACAGGGTCTCACTACACAGATTGGACTCTTGGTGATCCTCCTGTTTCTCAGCCTCCCAAGCGCTGGGATTATAGGCGTGCACCACCAAGTCTAGTCTCAATCACCACCCTAGCACGCCCTGGGGGCGGGGCCCGCAGGCAGCACCAGTTACTTTTGATAAGAGATAATATGTTTACAATACAGCTGTCTTTACCCTTTTATGTGTCTTCCCTCTTGTTCACTCTAGCGCCACATTGTTTACCCACAGCATACCTGCATTTCAAAGTTAAGCTTCTGAATAAATCTGCTGGATTAAAACTCAGACAAGGAAAATCCAAGCCAAATAAAGTAAGTTGCATATTTATATTTAGAACAAGTACAATGACACATTTTTGGGATTTATATAAAACTCTACTGATGCAATCTTTAAAACACATAAAAATTGAAAATTATAAAATTTAAGTTGTGTGAAGGATATTAAGATGTTTGAAATGCAGAGAGATAGTGAGGTTAAGCTTAATAGCCTAAGTCGTTTGATAATAACAGTAAGCTTTTCTTCTGAATGGTTAACAACCTAAGTTTGCAGACCAAAATGAGAGAAAAAGGAGGGCCGCAAGGAAAGCCAACATTTTGGCCCTAGCCTTGCAAGGTCAATTAAGACTCAGGACATATGAGAACTTGTACTGTAATGTCATGTACCTCGGTAGTGTCTCAAATTTTCTGATCAAGGAGATTATGGGGCCAAAGAAGAAAGTGATCGATGATGTAGAGTGTGCCTAAGGAGAGTCACATGGAGAGAAAACATTCTCTCAGGCTTTCACAGAGAGCACATTGGCCAAGCAATGGCCGTGACTCATCCACATGGCTGACACTGACAAAGGATCTACAACCTAAGGTACAGGATCTCAGGATAAATCCTGAGGGCATTTCACTGACCTTCTCAGACCCAAAAGCTACAACTCTTGTTGCATAGGTCCTGCTTTACCTTGGTCTTAACCATCCAGTAGAAAAGTATGAAGATGAAATATAGGAAGTAAAGCCATGCTGTCATGTTGAGCTGTGGGGGACTCAGGTCAATAATTTCTGACATTGCCAGTTAAACAGAAGACCCAATGCTATTATGGGCTACTGGACTCTTTTAGAATATTTTGCTGAGTTTACACACCTATAATATTCAATAACGGAACTTAGAAAAAAAGGGGTATACAGATGAACGTCCATTTTGTGTCTGTGTATTCAAAGTGGTTAGGATAGATATATAGTTGCATTCTCTTAATGAATAGAATGATTTGTTCTAATGGTGTTTGTAAATAGGATCTCAAGTCCGCATCTTGTACGGCAATTAACCACTAAGAAGAATATATGCAGTGTGTTAGTTATTGAAACTGTCCTACCGATTTGACTTGAAACTGTCTCATTGCTATCTGTTTATCAATAAAATTATGAAAAAAAATAAATCTGGAAAAAAAAAAAGAAACCTAAAGATTCTTCCAACTGTGTACAAAATATATTGCTCTCAAACTATTAATAATAGTAGGTTAAACAAACTATTGCTCCCTCAATTTTATTGAATGATTAATAAGTAACACATCTTACATTCTTTCAGTTGAAAACAAATTTCTAAATGGAATGACTAGGCAACTGACAATAACAACATCAAACTACCAAATAAGCACAAATAAGCAGAAACCAGAAACTCTGATCGAAAGATGAAAACAACTGATGTACATACTGTATTTATATACTTGGTAGGCCAATTACTTTATTCAAAATGGTCTATACCAGTGGTATTAAATACACTGTTAAGATTAAAAATTGAATACTCCCAAGGTTAAGTAGCAGGACAAAAATATGTAAGATTTTTACTGCTTTTAGATTAATTTTTTTTTCAGAGAAAAAAACTGATACAAAGGATATAGATGCATGGACACTTCTCTTTTTTACTTTTAAAAACAGAATATATATGTGTGACCACTAAATTATGTGTGTGTGTGTATATATATATATATATATATATATGCATGCTGCTTTGTGGAAAATACCAGTTTATTAATTTCAAGATCATGTAGATTTAATTAGGGAAAAGGAAGATTAAAAAAAAGTAATTATGTACATTTTAAATCTCTTTTAACCTTCCTTAATGGCAGGATCTAATTATTGGTACCAGAGGGAATATAATAAGAGTAATTAATAGGCTATGAAAAAAAATCCAGTAACTTTCTTTATGTGTCCTTTAATATTACAATATTAGCTGCTTGTGTGGAAATCCTTCAACTCACCTAAGCCACTCCAAACACACTTTACACACCCAGACATTTCTTGAAGAAAAATCGTGATTTCATGACCAAGTTTACACTGGAAGCTTGTTTTTAACTGCAGTGCCTGCCATATCCAGTAAACACAACGGGGTAAAGAAGCAAAGACCTCAATGTTAATCGAGGGGACGAATCACAAAACTGACAGTCTGACTCAGAGACAGGGGATGGCACAGGACAACAGTTAGGAGGCTTCTTCCCGAGGACTGAGTCTCAGACGCGAGCCAGACAATTTAAATTCATGTCTTAGAAAAAGACACTGGTCCCTCTCTAGCCATAATTTTATTCCAGGACCACCAGTGGATAGACAAGAATGGTGAACCTAATATACCCATGCTTCTTCCTACTCACATGCATTTATGATAAACTTTTACCTTTTCTTTAAAGGAAGTCATTTGCGGCTTTTCTCTGGCGTATCGAAACTGCCAGCATCACTATTCTTTGGCTCGAGGAAAACCGCTAAGTACAGGTTAGCTGAACAGGCGCTGTGAGCCCACGGCAGCTGGCCTGGCAGCCAAACACTTTGGGCCAGCGGAAGATTTTATCATGCCTCTCAGAGAGTGACACAACTGCTAAGACTGCTAAGCCAACCATTTCTGGAATTTTCCACTGAATATTTTCAAGCTTTGGTTGTCTGCAGGTAACTGAAGCTACTGAGTAAAACTCAGGACAAGGAGGAGGCTGCCGAACAAATCCTTAGATGTTACACATACTCAGAATCTTTCAGGAAAAAACAACCTGGGGATTTTAAATTAACAGCCATTTCAAGGTTCTGTTGCCCTTGGATTTTGAGAGCCAAGAGCAGACCCTAGCTTCACAAGTGAGAGATGTGTTACGGAGCATGATTAAATGTGTCACTTGTAAGTTCATATGATCACAGGTCCATGGTGGAAAACAGAGGTTCAAAAAGCCCTAAGGAGCCAGATGTGGTGGTGTACACACCTGTAATCCCCACACTTAGGAGGCTGAGTCAGGAGGACTGCCACCTACATAGTGAGCTCAAGGTCAGCTGAACTGCATACCCTGTCTCAAAAAAGGCCGAAAATAAAAGTAAAAAAGGACAAAGGCCTAATACTTACATCCTCATAGTAGTGCGACCAAGAAAAACTGGTAGAGAATCAGACCCGCTTCAGTTATTCAGTGAGTTCTGTCATGTCCACTTTGGAGGACGTGAAGTGTGTGCTAACAGGCAGGCCATGCAATTCGGTACACTCTTTGGAGTTTAGTGTTGTATGACTGCGCACCAAGCCACGTTTCTCTTGTCTGTCCTGCACGTAATGTGCAGCCCTTCACAAATGCATGATTTGCCTTGTATCAGTTTTCAAACTAGTAGCCCTCATCGCCTGACACCGTTTCTCTACATTCTTCTTCTAGCTCCCACCGCAGACCTCTGGAGCCACATCCCCGTGCGCCTACACCTCTCGCACCTCCTCCTACATTCTCCATGTGTCCTGCACAGGCACAGAAACTGCTTCGCTGAATTACTGAGCTTTTAATCTCAGTAAATTTCACCCTTTTGGGTCTAGAATATCCATCTGACTCATTTTAGGAACCAGTTCTTTGTCAAATTTTCTACATTATTTACTTTTCTGAAATTAATCACAGTTAAAAATTTAAAATTGTCAATACAATAAGTCCCTGGCTTACGAACGAGTTCTTATGTTTGTAAGTCAGATTTGTCTGCAAGTCTGACAAAGTGAGTTTTCACACATCTTTCACACGACATACAACATGAAGTATAACAGGCCCAAACACACTCAGAGGCGCGGTACGCCCCAACTGTACAGCACACCACCACACCGTACAGTCACGCACAGTAGCACAACTGTGACAACGTCCACGCGGGCTGCTCGTGGGATCTGCTCACGTCCAGGAACGTTCCCAATGCAAGGTCCGTTCGTATCTGTGAAAGTTCATATGAACTTGAACGCTTGCAAATTGGGGACTTAACTATAGTCTCAGTTTTCTAGGACTTACGGATCACTGCTTCTCTATTTTTTCTTTCCATTAGTCTTTAGTCATTTGATTGACTAGTCATTTGATTGTCTCATGACATACTTAGCAAGCCTTTCAAGGATTCCAGGTAAACCGCGGGGTGTCTGACAGAGGCTCCTGCTTCTGCTTGCTAAGTGCAAGTTCTGTATCCTGGCTCCAACAGAGTGTCAAAATGCTGCAGCCACTTTCAGGTTTGTTTCTTAGCTGCACAGTCCAGAGTTGAGAAACTGGCAGACTCTGAGGACAAAAGCTAAACAAATGATTTTGTTTCCCTAGCTCTGTGAGTGCTGAGAACTCTGAACTACCAGCTGCCACTGGCCTGCACATCATGCCTTGAAGAGAGCTGGAGAACCCTACCGCTCTACAGAACATGTTCCCTGGCTCTTGGGCCTCAGACCCTCAGCTACTGGCTGCCGTGGTTGCTTTCAAGGCCTCCACATGGCTGTTAACTGTACTTAATCCACCAGGATGGCTCGGGCTGGGGTAGCTACTGTCCACGCTAGGGCCAGCAGACTCACCTCCCTGTATTTTTGTCCTTTACCAGAATCCATTAAAATGTAATTCCAGGATGAAAGAAATTTAGTAGTATTTAAAAGGACAGATAGGGGCCGGGGAGATGGCTCAGTAGAATAGGCGCTTGCCTGGCAAGTACAAGGGCCTGAGTTCAATCCCTGGTTTCACAAAAAAATAAAAAAGAAAATAAAAGGACAGATAACTGAGTAAAAAATTGCTATCAGAAGAAAAGTTAAAATACAGTGACATTTTGGAGCTTTCAAGATAGCTGCTCAGTGGTCTAAAGTGCTTGCTTAGGCACCACAGGCTGCAACAGCTCTGCCCACAGGCTGTGCTGAGCCTGCCACAAAAAAAAGAAAAAAAAAAAATCAGTGACATTTTGAAAGATAGAAGACTTTCAATTTACCTTTAATAATCTAAAAGATGGAAATATTTCATGTAAATATCAAGGTAAACATGTGGCCTCACCGCCTCTCTGCAGTAACGCAAGCTCAGTTCCTTTTCACAGCGATCCACCCTACGTGTGCCTGCGCGTGAACTGCCAGCCCACCTACAGAAGTGGAAGGCGCTGCAGGAAGGGGGCACAGAGCCGAGCCGGGGGCAGGGTACCGTGCGCGTCCTACCTTGCTAACTTCCGTTTCTTCCTGGCAGCAGCAGTCAGTGCCATGTAGGATGGCACTGCACTGGACACAGGCAGAGGGTGCGTGGCTGAGAGTGAAGCAGGGTCAAGCCTGTCATGAAATAATGGAAAATAAAAAATAAACAAGAGTAACTCTTATTTATACCACAGAGCCAAGAGACACAGATAACTCCGTAACTGGAGGGCAGTGTCCTGTGCTATACAACGGCCCTCATCTGTGCTGGGGCCGGCCGAGGTGCCCTCTCCATAGCACTGAAGGCGTGCTCATGGAGAGGGACGCTTGCTGGGGTAGCACTCAATCACTGCTCAGACCATGACGATTTCAGGGCAGGCCAAGCTGCATGACCATCAGCAGAAACTAGAATGGGCCTTGACAGAGACTTGAGTGAAGAACTGCAAGATGGTGGCCCTGCAGTGGCGGCCTGTGCCCCACAGGAACACGCTGTGTCCTAGAGTCTCAGAAAGCTTAATGAAGGTCAAGTGACTCAAGACACCAAATTTAATATTTTTAGTGAATGCAAGTACAGATAATGAAGACTTACTGTAAACAAAATACTGCTCTATAATCAGGGTAGCACACTTGATCTAAGAAATAAGCCAAATATTGCTAAAGAAGAAAAAGGAAGACAAGATTAAGGGCTGTGTTTAAAAAGAAAAAAAGAACTGGCCAACGTTGTCCTTTCATACCTTTGTACACTGCTGTTCACTGGTAGTGATTCTTGCTCGGGTAACTGACTCTTTAGGTTCCTGGCATCTTCACATACAGTAAACGCTGAAGCCAAATCTGAGCACGCCTGTTCTGCTCTCCAGGGGAGCGGGCTGTCTATCTCACCCGATGCGACCAGAGAACCACCACCATTTCCAAGTGAGCTGACCGACGGGTATGGCTTGACCAAGGCCACTGGAGACTGACATGGAACAGTTTTTCTGTAGCTCTCTGGAGTATACAAAATGGGCTGAAGTTCTTTAGTGAGAGAGTCATTGAGCTGGGCACTTTCAGCCAAGGTGGATTTCTTGGCACGTTTTGCTTTCAAGGGGGACGGCATTAATTTTCTTCGAGTTCTTTTGTGTGGAGGAATTTGAAGTAGACTCGATAAACTTGAAGATGTGCCTGTTAAATAAAATAAAAAGTTCTATACTACTGCCTGGTTTGACAATAATGCCATTAAAATTTCTGCCAACAGAAATTGGAAAGTTAGAAAGGAAGCAGATATAGCTTAACGCTAAAAAACTTCCAATGAAGTTAAATTATTAGATATTTTATAACAAAAATAATAAATTGCTAACATCAATACCAACTCACAGGCCCACTGTGTGAGACTGCCGGGGTCCACCGGATCCTGATTCGACCCAGAGCCCAGGCCCTGCCTGTGAGTGAGACATATCCTGAATTGACCCAGAGCCCAGGTTGGGCATGGAACTCTTCAGCAGAACTCCCTGCAAAGAGGCTAGAGGCAAGACCCACCCAGCTAATTCAGGAGCAGAACGTCTTGCCAGAGTGGCACAGAGGGCTCACTTCCAAGGGCTGCAGCAGGAAGAAGTGGAGCACAGCGGCCAGAACCAAGCCACACCCACATGGACCAATTTGAATTTGGTAGATCCAGACCTGGTGCTAAGGTAATAACTCTATCTAAGCTCTACACCAAAGGTCAGAAGACAGCGGCATACAAAATGGCAAAGAGAGGGAACAAAATGCAGTCTCAAACCTCGAGCCCACCCAGAACAAATGCAGAAGACACTAGCATAGAAGAAATTGGAAATCACACACCTGAAATCTCTGAAATAATGGGGATGGAAGCAAAGAAACAGCTGCAGAAAGGTATAGAGGAAATCAGATCAGAAATAATTTCAGAGGTAAAAAAAGAAAGGATAACTATAATCAAAGAAGTACTAAGTGCTTCTAAAGAAGACACTGATAAAAAATACAGAATATAAAAATGTTGGAATTCTTAAATAAGCAATATAGGAAAAAAATAGAATGTATGAAACAGATTCAAAGTGATATACAGGAAATTAAAACCTCAATCACAAGCTGGCAAAACCGTTTGAATGAATGTGAGAATAGACTTTCGGACTTTAAAGACACCATTGCAGTTAGCGAAAAGGTAAGAAAAGATCTCTTAAAAACAACTACAATGAAGGAAATAATTCAACACCTGTAAGATGATGCAAAGATGAACAATGTGAGATTAACAGGCATCAATGAGAAGAAAGGAGTCAATACAAATGATATGAAAAGAATATAGGCAGAAGTAATAGCAGAAAACTTCCCAAATATGGGGCAACAATCTGAAATTCAGGGAGCCAAAGCATATAGAACTCCAAATAACATCAACCCAATTAAAACCACACCCAGACATGTAATAATCAAGATCCCAGAAATTCAGCACAGGAACAGTATACTAAAAGCTGCTAAAGAAAAGAAACAGATCACATTTAAAAGAAACCCCATTAACGGCAGACTTCTCTTCACAAACCATCAAGTCAAAAAGAGCATGGAGCAAAGTACTTCAAGTCTTGCAAGAAAACAAATTCCAACCCAGACTGATATACCCTGCTAAACTCTTTTTCAAGTATAACGGAGAAGTGAAATACTTCTATGACAGAGAACTTACGAACTTCATGATGACAAAGCCAAGCCTACACAGACTACTAAATGAGGTTCTAGAGAGGGAGCAAAACGATCACAACTCCATGAATGAGAATGGAAAGAACTCACAAAATAGGGTAAATAATTAAACACAGGAGAATAAGTGGTATACAAAAGTAGTCTTTCAGTTATTCTTTTGTGTTCAGCAGCAAAATATTTCCATCAGCACACTCTAAAAATGGACTTCTCTTCCACCTTATGGGTCATGATTCCACCTGAGTCTACAGGGTGGATTTCAAGGAAATAGCAGTAGCTCAGTCCCAAAAGTGACACCTGTCCACCAGTAACTGTTATGAACATTATCCATGTCTACGACACACTAGAACTTTATGCGATATCCTATCCTCAAACTGTTAGAAGTGCCAGTCATTTATTTGCCATTCCAGTATTTATCTTATGTTTATTCTTAGTACTTCTTTACTATCATGAAAACTTTTTCTTAGTTCAATTGTTTTGAAACATTTAATTTTTAATTAATTAGTATTTAATTAATTAGTATTGCTTAATCTTAATTTTTGTTTTAAGAGTTATACTATATCTTTGACTTACAATTTATTTAAAAGAAATCATATGATATCTTCTTAGTATTAGAAACTTTAAAAAGTATAAAAAAAATACCAACTTAACAAGTATAACCCAGTGTCTTGAGGGACTGAGAAATCATGAAAATAACTTCCCAACCAAGTCTTCCAATTCACAAGCAACTTCCAGCTATCATGCTTACCTTGAGCTTAAGACAAGAGATACACACTCAGCATCTGTAGGCAAAGAGACCAATACTTGTCCTTTTGCAGCATATCGCCTGATTACTGTTACTAGTTGAGTGAAGTCTAGTCTATGTTAACAGCGAAGGCAGTAACCAGTAAAGCCCAGGGCTAATGGAAGAGTTGTATGCTACCATGACTGGTATAGGGCCGATCTAGCATCCTAGTTGCTTGGTTGTCTCCCATAGCATATGTGATTCAGATTTATAAAGATCAGATTTAATACAAAAGGTAACTGTACACAATCAGAAGGGCTTGGGTATCTGAACTCTTATCACTGTAAAAACCTGTTTCTCAAAGGTCATGATCTCCCCTCAGCCTTATCCCCCAGCTTCTGCAGCTTTCCCAAATCATTCCTAAGTGCCAACATCTGTGCTACTCCCGTCTTGCTCCACCCAGGAAATGTAAATACTTCCTTAAGGGGTTTACCTCACCCTCTAATGCATATGTTCTTTCTTTTTACCACTGCCTTCTTATATACCTAGGTCTCAAATAACTAGATTAAAAAAAAAAAATTCTTTTCTCTTGAATTTATTGACCTATAAAAATCTCACTTCTCGGGGCCGGGGAGATGGCTCAGTAGGATAAGCGCTTGACTGGCAAACGCAAGAATCTGAGTTCAATCCCCGGTTCCGCCAAAAAAAAAAAAAAAAAAAAAAATCTCACTTCTCTTACAGTTGTAGTTAAAACACAACACTGTATCATACCTTCCAGTCAAGGCTTTTAGGAATCCTTAGCAGAAATAAAATATCCAGAGATTTTTAGCAACAGAATTCTTGGTCCAAACAAAAAAATTGTTTTGTTAGAAAGAACCTAAGTTTGCATTCCTACAATACTAGATACACTTAAATATTGAGGCACACAAACACCGCTAATGCCTTTCACTATGGCTCCTCAGGGCACATTGAGCACACACAACCCTGTTGCACACGTCTCACACTCAGTGACTGACGATTCTCATCTGCTTACCTCATGGTGGCTGACAGGAAGTGCCTTAGCGGAGCAGACTGCCCATCAAAGAAACCAGAGTTATTATTCCAGCCATATTTTCAAATCATGAAGTAAAATTCCCAATTGATATTACATTCACTTTATTATGGTAATGCTAACTTGAACAGAATAAGTTTTACATATTTCAATAAAGCAATTCAAATTTTCAACCAAGTCAAAAAATACGTATGCATCAGTCGCCAACAGTGTATGCACCATGCCTGTTGTGTCAGTTGACAATGTGGCTAGGTAGACAATTACCCTCTAGGAAATACAATTTAAAAACAGGAAGAAAAACATGATCCCTGTTCTACTAAGAATTTTACTTTTCTGAGAACTAGATAAATGAGATCTAGATCTTAAAATAATTTTCCACTCCCTTTAACATGACATTTGTCAAATTTTCCATTACCAGATATTTTTATACTAATGCTGCAGTGTAAAGACAGTTACTTTCTCCACTGTGCTGCTGCCACCAATTTGGTGGCTATTAATAGCTGGAAGATTAACTTCTTTTCCCATGAGAGGCAGCAGGGGTACGGAGGATAGAAAGTATATCGAGGAGAGAGAACGGAATCGGGAGTCAGGAGACGTGAATTCTATTTCTGGCTTCACCAGCGACTCACTTAGTGACCTTGGGCAAACTCACTTAAAGCAGTGTGGGCATCAATCCCCCCTAGTGAAAAAGGGCCACCACGTTTTTTATGGACAGGGAATTTTCTAGGATTAGATGACAGACATACTTAGGGTTCAAAGAAAGACCTTAAATAGAAATATGCTTCAACTGTTAGCATTACCACTTTCATGGGGAAGGTAGTTTACTTTCCATTTATCCATCAATAGCTAGCTACTTTACCATGATCTCTGAAACAGGACATTTCACATACTGTCTGACTTTCAAATGATGAGATATGCAGCTTATCAAAGCTGATAGCAAACTGTGATATAAGTCAAATTATTGTTAAAATGAGAATATCTAAGAGCTACCTGCAAATGCAGGTTTTATAACAGCATTCAAAAATGTAGAGCGCACTAGAGCCCCAAGACTCAGGGATGAGGGCCACCCAGCCACCATTTCCCTTGTACGCATCCAGAGGCACAGCCTCGGGGTGGTGGCCGGGCAGGGTTCCTCTCCATGGACCACTTGTTTCCCAATGGCTCATACTGAATATGACAATGGAAATCTTCTCACAAGACACTGAAGATAACCTCCTGGCCTCTAGGACAATCTGAGCGTAAATTTCATGCTGAATTCGGGATGAACACACTAAGTCAGTGAAAGGAAAAGTCAGTCATGTGACAATGGTACATCTCTAGCTCTAGCTTTCTGGTCCTATAGCAACCTGCAGGAGAAACATGGAGATGCAGTTAGTGCTTAGCAGGGACAAATATATTACTACTTTATTGGGCTTGGAAGAAGACATGTGTCAGACATACAGCATGTATTGAACACAATTCTAGAAGATTCTCTACTTTTTTAATCCTCTTGATCATTCTATTCAAAAAAATAATTAGAAGACAGCAAAAGGTCAATGAAGGACTACCTGAGGCTCATTAATTGCTAAGAAAGGTTTGAGAGATGACTACAGCAAAAAAGAGTTAAAGATTTAGATACAAATGACAGTCAATCCACTGTAAGTAACATACAAGGATAATGGCTCCACTTGCTAGTTTGTCTTTCATATCACTGCATGTTTATGTCCACGT